CTGCTGTGCATATCACATTTATATTTTGCATATCATATGATTTACTGTGTTGCTTTATATATGAGTTCTCCGCACTCATAGCGATAAGCATGCATCAATTCATTGTACCTTTTGTATTGCCCTTCCTATCAATCCATAGGTTCCCTGAACATCGTTCAGGGAAGAGGGCAGGAATTACGATCACAGGAGATGCAGTGCCACCATTAAAGCTAACTCACTGGCCATGCAAGCATCTTTCATGTTACCCACAGCCTTTTAAAATGTGGCACGGATACTGGATACACTATTACAAATGTCAAATTGGCAGCACCAGAGCATTTGCAAGCTTTCATCATGCACCTCTCCTGGGGTAACTGTGTCCTGATGACGAGCCATGGGCTGCAAGACCGTTTTCATAGCCTTTTGTGACAGGTCAGCACTGGCTGTGAAGCAGCCGGTGCCCTTCTAGGCCCCAGCTGTTGTTAGAAGTGTTCATCATTGCCTTCTTAAAGAATTAGGGGGATATCATTCCATGAGACTGTATAGTCCCACAGTCTGGACAGATCTATCCTACTGCATGATCAGCATTGTCATCTTGATAGCAGCTAACACCCCATTCCTGCCACATCACATGGGTGTTGTGAGTCCAAGTGTTGCTGATACCTGCTCCTACTCTCTGCTGCACTGCTTGCAATCTCCTTGCTAGTCACTACCTATAATTTTACTGCTTACAATCTCCTTGATAGTCATATCAAGGTTCATAAGAACTTCAGTTACAGCACCTTTAGGCAGAAAAATAAAGACCCTTTGGCATTTCCTGAAAAACTGGCTCACTGTTATCACAGAGTATGTCAAAAGACTCTCTATAACCTGCAGCATTCTGCACAGTCATTGCAGAGCAACTTGTTCTGGACTAACACTAGTTTTGGATGTAGCCCAAGTAATTTTTGATTTTAGGGAAGAAGCCCTGTCTGCCACTTTTATATGCTGCAATGACAGGTCTTTGCCCACACAAGTTATGAAGAGAAAACAGTTTGGGTCTGCCTCTCTTGGGTGCTGAATCTTACAGTTTACCGGGGTTTTTCCTGTGGCTCTTCACAGGATCCAGCTTTGTTTGGGTCCCGTATGGGTACTATAAGATCTCAACAAAATGGAGATTTTTAGTCCTTGGCTTACCGAGAGAATTGTTCTAAGGGAACCCTCAAGGGCGTTCTCGCAACTAGACGATGAGGAAGTTTGGGAATTCGGCTTTGAGGTTGTCCTCGAGGATAATGTAGGTGCACCTTCTAGGAAGTACTAGTTAATTCACCTGTGATTGGGAATCAGAAGTTGTGGCTTTATTCCTAATTCTATCACCTGGGTGTGACTTGAGGCAAATTACTTTTTCTCACTGCATTAGATAGTCAGTTCTGTAAGCTATAGCTAAAGGGAAACCAAAAGAGTTTATACCAGTTAAGAGTTAGTGACAGCGCTTATGAGAGTTTATGCCAGGTGGCCGTCCAGTCCCCTGTATGTTTTCCTATTTCTTTAAATATAATGTAGATAGTTGTTTGTAATGATGTACTTGAAATAATACACAAAAAATTCTGGCTGAATTACAAACTAAAATCTAGTGCTGAAGCTTCAAAAGTTTCTACATTTAAAGAATTCTTGAAGATTTATATGCATCCCTGGGGCACTAGTGCACTTCTCCCTTCACTATTCACTGAAGTTTCACAGCCCTTAGCTGTCGTCACATACATCTTAACAGCCAAAGAACTGCGTCTTTGTGATTGTTCCTTGTTTCATTAAAAGAAAAATAAGTTTCTTCCCTCTTTTACATTGGGCTTTTCACTTGTACTGAAATGATCCACTGTGATTTTCTACCTGTTAGGGTTGCTGAAGCTCTCTGCACCAGCATGCAACTTTAATACCATCGCAGTGTTTTCAGAGGTGCTAGCAGAGTTGTGTCAGTGAGATTCCCCAAGGCTATTGGAGCTAGATCAGCAAAATGGTTAGTATAGCTAAAACAGGAGAATTTGATAGACTTGTGATTTTGAAATTTGTATTTCAGAAGCCAACGGATGTTTTTGAAGCACTATCTTTCAGCCTACTTCAAGTACTTCATCCACAGAGTAGCATGCCTTTCTCTTCAGAACTCTTTATTATCCGGTGTTTAATCTTCTACAGCATGCTAAGTTCTCAACCAGGTTATACTACATTTTGCTAGATGTTGCAAAAAACTTGGTATAAAAAAATGAAACCCAAAAAACAAATCCAAAGCCAAATCCCAGGAGTATTCTGTTGAAGAGACAAAAACAAGCAGGGTGGGTGGGATGGAAGTGTGAATGGAGAAATAAATCTGATATGTGCAAGCTGATCAGCTAATTGCTGAGATCATGGCTGATCAATAATTGATTGAGATCATAGCAGGCCACCTGCCTAGTTGTTATCAAAACATATGTTTAGAAGTATTCCCTTAAGGCGACTCTAGCAAACAATTTCTAAAAGATCATGAATTTCAACTAAAAAAAAAGTTCTTATTTTAGACAAACTGTTGTTTATAAATAGCTATGTCTGATCATAGAGAGACTGCAATCACATGACCACATTTCTGTCTTCAAACATTTATTCAATTTTGGTCTGTTTTCACTTTGTAGTTCAGAATTGTCCCCACTTAAATAAACACCCTCAGTCTGTCTCACAGATCTTGTATCACTTCTCCCTTCTTTTTTTTCTGACAGTCTTAACCAGCATTGGCCCTCTTTCCCAGACTTTTTTCACCTTATAGTCAAGAACAAACTTAAGAACAAGTTTTCCTACTTTTTAATTTATGCTTCATTTTTTAATATTTTCTAAAATACTTTTCTATACCATAACTGCAATTTAATGTCCTATTCAGTTAAGGCATAAACCTATAAAGGAACTTCAGCTAAAACCTATATTTTCCCTGGAGTCCTATCAGTGGGGACCTGCTAAGGATACAGTTCTGCATCCCCTTACTTGTCATTCTTTTGAGATCTGGGAGCTCACTGTAATAGTCCATGTACAATTCCATACTGCCTATATCAAATTCTATACTCCCAAGTACATGTACTGCAAGAACAAATTAAAATTTCTGTGCTGAGCAATATCAATTCCTTTTCAAATTTCTGTAAACTGTGGTTACTTACCACCTCTGCAGTTAATATCCTAAGAGCCTGAACTTAATCAGTCAAAAGTTGAGATCTTTTTGCATAGTGCAAAGGGGTAGACAGTTGAGGCCTCTGCTAACAAAGCAGTTGAGGAAAATTTTGTAACAAAGTTATCCCTATAATAAAATGCTTGTATGGCCTTGTTGTTAAGCACAGGACAGTCAATAGGACTTAAGTATATGCATATTTATGAACTGGGGCCTAGCCCGTATGTTATTTGTGAGATTCGAGCATAAGGAGAACTAGTCTTTCCTCCAAAGATGATGATGTAAATGAGTTGTAGAGGTGCATTAACATAATGTTTGGATGACTTTTTCCTCTTAGAGAAAGGGAAAGGTAGGTTTA